CAGGAGGACCTGGTGAGTGCTGAGGGCTTCTTACTGTTGCTTTTTGAGGTCAACGTCTGCTTTGGGCAATCAGCTCCTTTCTCAGTCTTTTCTCTCTGCCGGCAATTGGAGATGGGGTTGGGTTGCTTCACTGAGGACCTTGTGAATCACCCCATCCTCCCCCTCCCCTTCCTGCATTAATGACAGCCAACACCATGCCTGAGGCAATCTATTGATTTATCTTCTTTTCATCCCCAGGTGGCTGGGCTTATGCTGCTCACCTGATTTTTAAGGGGAGGAAGATGTAGGGCACTGAGCCGTACCAAAGGCCAGCCACCATCTCATGGCCATCCAACAACGGTGTCACCAAGCTCTGGCCCACAGGGCCGAATGGTGGCTATGGGGCATCTTATGCCTGACCCGGCCCCAGGGCACTCACTGACCTGCTTGGAGAAGGTGGAGATGTTTGGAGAAGTTTGGGAGCAGGGAGGAGGTTGGACCGGCTGACCTGGAAGCCTCTGAGATGCCCTCAGGTGTGATGGGAGGGCTGAAGGCTATGGGGAATTTTACCCTCTTGCTGCAGGGCACTGGGGGAAGAAATCTATCACCAGGAAGCTTCGTGGTGGAGCAGGGCTGAGCTTTGTGTCAAAACAAAACTAAAATCTCGGGTGCTTAATGTTGTGTGGAGATCTCTGGCATTGTGCTTGGATGGGCTGAGCTTCTGCCAAGGGATGAGGTGCATTGGGATGGGGCTGGGTTTGGCCAGTGTGGGTGGAAGGCAGGGGTGGGATGCTGCCCATGGGCAATGGAGTCTCATTGGCCATGGTCATCACTGCTTGGAGCTCAGAGGTCCCAGGTGGGCACCTAAGATGGGAATCACCTCCTGGAGAGCCGCTGGGACCACGTGCCAAAGGTGCATATTCTGCTGCAGATGGGAAAACTGATGGGTTTTTATAAGAATGAAGAGTCCCAGGCCCTGGGCTGGGATTTACCTACACTGATGAAAGGTCTGGAAAACCCAGGACCTGCTGTGCCGTGCACTGGGCTTCCCAAAGTGGAGCAAATGAAGCCCAGCCCATTAATTACCTGCTCGGGACCAAAGGTCGTGGTTTTGGGCTGCCCCTCCTGCATGGAAACACCAAAATGCAGATGAAGCAGCCTTGTGAGACAGCAGGACGTGTCACATCAAAGTTGGGTTTGCTTGAAATCCTCCAAGACAAGGGAACTGCCCAATCCTCTTTCTTCTTTCCAATCTCGGCATCTGCCTCCAAAACCAAATTTCTTGAGGGTTTGCTGTTTTCTTTTTCTTTTTTTATGGCTTTTATTCCGTCCTCCCCCATAACCTTATTGATTTTTCCACCCGACCCTGATCCTACACCCACATTCGTGGGTGGTTTTGCCAGCATCTGGTCTGTCCCTGTCCCACTTGGCAGCGTGGTACCCAGCAGGAGCCCTGTTTTCCTTCAGGTGACTTCTGCCTTATCTCTCCAAGGCTGTTTTCTTATGTCAGAGGTGCTTTTGGAGCTGCATTGCTGCAGTGTCCAGCAGCCTTCCACCCACGAGATGGGTTGCCTGTAGGTTGGGGTGTGAATCCCTTCCCCTTTCCTAATTGTGCTCTTCTAGAAGCTGAGATCAAACCAAAAAGGGGGGAAAAAAAAACCAACAAACCAGCCACAAACTCTGGATTTCCAGAGAATGAATGGAGAAAGCGCTGAGCACAGTGGTAGTGACGGGTGGCCTCCAGCTCTATGGGGTGGCCCTGCTCTTTTCCCAGCTGGTTTGTGATGTCAGATGGATAGAATAAAAAGGAGAATAGAGAGCATGGGATTCTGAACACTTCCACCATGAGGCTCTCACCTGGAGGGCAGGGATTTATTGCGTGGTGACCCACGTTTCCAGAGCCCTACAGTGTGGCATGACCACAGCCGTGGGATCCCACCACCACCTCCTCTCCAGCCATTTTCCTCTTCCATCATTCCTCTTCCATCACATTTCCCACAGCCCCCAAAGCCACCAACAAGTGGTGACGGAGGGATGGAAGAGAAGAACTCAGATCCCAAACTGTGATTGTTGGAGCAGGTCCAGCATCCCAACTATTGAACCTGAATCTGAAACACTGCAGTGGGCACTGCCAAGAACTTTGTTCATTTATTATTTTTCCCTTCCGGGCACTGAAAATTGATGCGTGGGATGGAGATTTGGAGGTGATTGATGGGTTTTTGGTGCTTGCCAAGTAGAAGTTTTCTTTTTATGGGCATTCAGCACCTGGGCTCGGGAAGCTGGTGCCCTATGGGGAGCTGGTGCCCTATGGGGAGCTGGTGCCCTATGGGGAGCTGGTGCCCTATGGGAAGCCGGTGCCCTATGGGGAGCTGGTGCCCTATGGGGAGCTGGTGCCCTATGGGGAGCCGGTGCCCTATGGGGAGCTGGTGCCCTATGGGGAGCTGGTGCCCTATGGGAAGCCGGTGCCCTATGGGGAGCTGGTGCCCTATGGGGAGCTGGTGCCCTATGGGGAGCCGGTGCCCTATGGGGAGCTGGTGCCCTATGAAAGTGGCACCAGTTGGCTTTGTGTGGACAGCAGAGAGCGTAGCATGGTCAGGATAAAGAATTTCCTACCTTGGCTTTTTGGGTTGAAGTGCCTCTTTCTAGACAGGACAGAGGTGCAGAGCCATGGGACAGGGACATCCCACCCCAGCCTGATCCATTTCTTTGGGGCCAGGAAATGGCCGTAAAGCCAAGGCTGTGGAGCATCCTCACATCGTGGGAAGGACATATAGCTGTGGGTGCCACCAGACAAAAGCACTCGAGGTGTGCAGTGATGCTGGCTGGAAGACAGTGGGGTTTTCCAGCAGGGAATGCCAACTCATCTTTCCTCTGCTGGGAATTTTCCATGGAGTTTCATGGCGTGGAAACACACCCAGGAATGGAAAAAGCCCAGGAGGAAAGAAAGAAGACAGGAAGTTACTTGGCCAAGAGGGCTTGGCGGGGTCCCAAGGCGAGGGATGGTGTTGGGTTCATACACAGCACCCGCAGCGCTGCACATGGGCTGGGATCCCAAACTTGTTCTTTTCCCCTGTATTTAATGATAATCTGTTTAATACCCTCCATTTGATCTCCATCTCGAGAGGAACTAAGACAGAAAGGAGGGGGGAGGTACTGGCTCCTGTGCTAAAGGGGGTGGAGTAGGGTGGAAAAAGACATCAGGGATGGGTAGGAGTCCAGAGAAGATAAATAAGGGATGGTTACTCCCTGCTAGGCAAGATCTAGGGCAGGCAGTTCTCGGGTGGCTTCCCAAATTCTCCCTCATTGGCTTTTCCTTCGTGGAGGGATCTCGATTCTGGAACGGGGCTGCCACAGTTCTCCTTGCTATGGGAAAAAATAGAGTTGGGAAAACATCCCCTCGTGTAGTGGTGCATTGTGTCTCTTGGGGAATTACAACTGCTTGGCTGTTGCTGGGGGGGATATCTCGTTATCTGCGGTTAATCATCTAGAGATAATGACTCCTGCATCTGTAATGATGCTTTTCTGGGTCCCGTTTGCTTTCCTGGGGGAGGAATGTTGAACGCAAAGAGAGAAGCTCAGTGCCATGGGGTGCCTCATCCAGAGGTGTTCCCCACCAGGAGTGCCCCAAACCCACATCAGCCCTCCATGACCTCCCCGTGCCCAAAATAATGGGGCCCTGAGGGGCTCGTTGGAGGCTCTGGGTCCTTAGGGAGGGGGAAGAGCTCCTTGGAGTGCAGCAGTCCTGTTCCTCGCCTTGCATGATGCAACCCCAGCATCCTCCATGGGAAATGTGCAGAGTGTGAATTAAGAGCAGCTGCATGGCTCTCCGGCTCCAATTAACCTGATAATTAGAACTTCATCGAGGACATTGCTACCTCCAGGCGTGTCTCCAAGGGCAGAGCTGCTAACAAGGCTACGAGCTCCAGGATGGGCTCACTGCCACCAGCGGGGTGGGATGGGAAGGAGGGGGCCATCCTGGAAAGAGAGCTTGAAAATCTGGCCTTTGTTTCAGTTTCAAGCGGGGCAGAAATGGGAGAAAACATCCCGAAATCTCCAGGAGGAAACAAAACCCTCAAAGCACGGTCCTCTGCATCACCATCCCAGCACCATTTGGCCACGCACTGCATCGCAGGGAGCATCAGAACATCATCGCCCAGAGACCATTTCCTCCCACCTGTCTTTATAATAACAACGTGTATTTACTGCAAAAGCTGTTAAGGAAGAAAAACCACGCTGGGGAGAATGAGCTATGTGAGGAGGTTATGTGGAGAGCAGTGTGTTCAGGAATAAGTCCTTGTAGAAGGAATACCCCCTGGAAATTGGAGGAGCGCTGAGAGCCTCTTGTCACACCATTTAAATGCCTTTGATGGAGGAAAATGGAATTAGAGAGATTACAGGAAAAGAAAAATAGACTTAGCAGAACGAGAGCTGCTAAGAAATCTGGGAGTACTAATGAAGGATTGGATCAGATTTAGTTGGACAGATGCTCTTAAATGCCTTTCCCAACCTTGATTCAATGGTTCTGTGATTCAGCAGGCTGGCAGAGGGTGCCCAGCAGCAAAGAACTGCTCCCAAGAGGAGTTCTCTTCAACTCTTGAAAGTTTCCCCATTGAACTCGGAGCCAAAAGGAAAACCGGGGTGAGGAAGAGCATTCCTGGCACAATCACAGCTTAAAGGGATTATCTGTCCCACCGACAGCCAACCGCCCTTCTGTGCAGAGCACCAAAACCCACCACCAATGACTTTTTCACGGCCGTAAATCCAAATAACGAGCTTTGCTCTCCCGTTTCCCGAAAGCTGGCCGAGTTCCATCGCAGCTCCTATGAATAAAACCACCACCCGGATCCCAGAAGCCCAACGCACGGCCGCGTGCTTTCGGCCACCGCCGTCCCCGATGGAGTTCAGGCGCTGGAGGTTGCAGAGCCCCGACGCGCTCGGCGCACGTGTGGCGCGGCCGTCCCCTCCTCCCCCCTCCTCCGGCCGCCCCACTGCCACCACCTCCTCCTCCTCCTCCTCCTCCTCCTCCTCCTCCCACTTCCTCCGCACAATGCGAGCAGCAGAGCGGGGCAGCAGCACCGTGCCGGCCCCCCCCGGCCGCCCCCTCCCCGGCTCGGCCCCGTAAGATGCTCCGGAGGAGGCGGCTCCGCCAGGTGAGTGCGGAACAGCGCTCGGCAGTTCGGCTCCGAACCCCCTCCTCCCTCTCGGTTGCTGCGGGGCAGCTCTTGCTTATGGGATCCGAGCTCGGCTTGCAGGCTTTTACCCATTTATGGCCGGTGTAGAGCATGCGGTTGCTGCACGGGGCCGGTAGGTTTGCGTTTCGTTTTTTTTTTTCCCCGCTGCAAAAAGCTGCTTCGGTGACTCTGAGTGCAGCGTTTTGCCATCCGTGCGCAACGCCGTTGTGGTGCGAGATGTTCAAAAGCTGCAAAGTGAAAGTCCCCATGGGTTCCACCGGCAGGCGGGCTCCGCTTTGCACCCACAGCCAACGGCCGTGCCCGCACCCGGCGGGGATATCGGGGAGGTGACCTCCTCGGCAGCACCCAAGGGCCCCGTGTCACCTCCGCCACCCTTGGGGACAGCGGGACGGGACACGTGGGCACGGCGGAGCTGGAGGGCTCCCCGTCCGCTTCCATGTAGGGTGAAACGAAGGCGGTGGTGGGGTCACCGTCCCCAGTCGTGGGATTGGACTGGATGATGTCGGTGGCCTTTTCCAACCTGGGTGATTCTGTGATGTTTCCCCGGTGCTGGCAGGGGGATTTGGGGCTGGGGGGGACGCGAGCGTTGGCGTCGCCCTACCGTGGAATGGTTGCACAATGGTTCTTTGTAGATGAGTGCATGTCAGGGAAGGGGGAAAAGGAGGCACAGAAATTGGGTGAGGCACGAAATTTGAGTGCAGTATCCATCCCAAACGTCGGCGCTGTGGGGAAAAGGGGAAAGCCCCGTCCCGTGCACGTGGAGGTGGCACCTTTGGCTCCATCCTTCTGCTGGATGTGCCTTGGGATGCAGCCTCCTGCTTTTGCAGGGCTCCTGTTGCCTTCCTGTATTTCTCCTCCCCGAAGTCTTCCGTCCCAAATGTCCCAGCAGAGGGACATGGCAGCACTAAGGGACGTGAGGGGGGAAACATGTCCCCTCCCCAGCCTCATCCATGGGTTCAAGCCCCTTCCACAGCAAAGCCACCGAGCTTGGGTCCCCTTATCTACCCCAGCAAGCTTGCCCCGCTATCGAAGCCATTTCCCCTTCTGCGGACAGGGCTTTTATCTTATCTCCACGTTCTCTTCCTCCATTTCCTTCTCTGTTTCTCTGCTGATTCTTGCCACAAAAAGAAAAAAAAAAAAACAATGAGGGGGGGGTGGAGAAGAGGTGAGATCCCACCACTCTGAGCCTATCCGTGGGCCTGGAGGTTGTTGGGGTGGGGGGGTCCCAAGTGGAGCTGGCCCATGCTTGGGGGATGGCAGGGGATGCCTGGAGGTGTTTGGGTGGTGCTCTTGGAGGGATGCTCAAGGCATCTCAGTGGGATGCCCAAGAGATCCTGGGGGATGTCTGCTGCTGCTCCTGGGTGCACGGAGGGATGCTCAAGGCGTCTCGGTGGGACGCCCCGGAGGTGCTGGAGGTTCTGGGGCGGTGATGAGGAAGGTCGGGCAGTGATGCAATGGTCTGCCAGCTCCACCTGCTGGCACGCAGCGCCTGGTGCTGCAGGTCCCACCCCAAACCACAAGACGCCAAAAGGGTCCGAAGAACTTCAGACAAGAGAGAGGTGAATGCACCCTGCTGTGTCTGACCCGTTTTCTCCCTTTTCCCCACCCAGGAAGGCCAGCTGACCTCTCCCATCGCACACCTCGGTGGAGTATAAATGGCCTCAAAACGTCATTCAGAGCCTCTGGATGCCATCCTTTTTCACAAGCTACCTCGGCTGGAGGCCGAACCCGACCCGGGCATCCCCTCCATTCCCTGCAAACCCAACCCCGTCCCCACAGCCGGCCCCCAAACCCACCTCGGCTACAAGGGCTCCTACTTCTCCTGCCCACAGGCAGAAGGACAACTCCTACACTGCCTGCTCCGTCAGCCCCACAGCCCCACGGGCAGACCGGGTGCTGAGCAGGGCAAAAATCACCCCATGTGGGACCCCCTGGTGGCACAGGACAAGTGGCCCAGCCAGCAGGGCCACCCCTTCCCCCTGAAGAAGCCACCAGCCGTCCCCAAGCCCGTGTATGCAGCCCCACTTTGCTTCTCACCGCTGAGCTCCCAGGGGGGTGATGCCCTGCAAAGGGGGCCGGGGGCCGTGTCTGCTGTGCCCCCACCCTCCCCTGTCACCCTCTCCCACTATTACACTGCCTTTGAGAAGTACCGTGGTCCCCCAGCTGTGCATGACCAGGGGAAGCCACTCGAAATTCCCACCTGCATCCCAGACCCCTGGATGAAGGCACACCGGGAGCATCCCTCTGCTTGCTACCCACAGCCCCCCTACCCGCAGCCTCCGGGCTCCTTTTCTTACAAAGCTTTCGGCTTCATGGTGAATGGGAAATCTCCCCTTTTTCCCAGCACTTACCTTAAGCCCCCAACCCCCCAGAGCCACTATCCCAGCCCCTTGGATTGCTTTGCGTCGAGGCCGGCCGCTCCGGGCACGCTGCCCTCTCTGAAAGCAATGGGACCACCAAGGGATCTTGAGCCTCCACCCCTGCCTCCAGCTGGGTACCTGCATCCAAATCCTGGATTCGCCTTCAGCCCCATGGATGCTGTGTTGTTTACGGAGGATCACAGCGATGGGCGAAAGGCACCGCTGGAAGCCCATGGAGGGAGGGTGGTGACGAGGCACAGCAGCGCCTTCCACCCCATCCACACCCCACAGAAGACACCTGATGGGCTGTTGGGGCCGTTTCCCAAAGGAGAGGCTGGCTACAGTCTGGATAAGGCTTTGACGGCCAACCTCGTCCCCTGCCAGCAGCAGGTGGTCAAAGCCGGGGTCGGGGATGCCACCAAGGAGCACTTCATCCCTTGTAGGGCCATCTGTCCCCAGGAGAGGCTGAGGGACCTACAGAGTGGTGATGTGTCCCCCCCTTCCCCACCGATGCCGGTGATCAACAAGGTCTTCAGCCTGGCGCCTTACCGGGAGTACCTGGAGGGGACCGAAGGCTCCACTGATGTCCCCAAGGAGCATCCACAAGGGGACGCAGCCACACCACAAAACTCAAGCAGCGGTCAGGAGCCTGCTGGCGTCAAGGCGACATCCAGCTCGCTGCGTGGTGAAGGGGAGAGTTGTCACCAAAAGATCCCCGAAGTGTCCCCAGAGCCAGCAGCAGGAAGTCACCCAGGGCTTCAGCACAGCGGTGGGGAACCAATCCCTGCTGATGTGGCACTGGACTTGAGCTTGAAGAAGAGCTCGGTGACAACGGGGAGCACCGGCACAGAGGGGATGTTGGACCCAGGGGAGAAAGAGGGGCCACTGGGGCAGGTGGAGGTGGCTGAGGACACCAAGGTGCCACTGCAGCTGGCGGAGGCGGGTGGGGACACCAAAGCCCAGGTGCCACCCAACCGAGTGGAGGTGGGTGAGGACACCAAAGCCCAGGTGCCAGCGCAGCTGGTGGAGGTCAGCTCTAAGGACAGGAGCCACTTCCAGAGCTCAGCTGCCTTCATGTTCAAGAAATACAAGATCCTCAAGTCCTGGGGACCCCCCGGTGCCCCCCAGCCCAGCTCTCCGCCGCACGCGTGGCAGGGGTCCCCCAGCACCTCTGTCCCACAGGAGCCTTGCCACAACACGAAGCCTGTGGACACGTCACCAGCCCTGCCCCAACCCCCCTTGCCCGCCAGCCCCTGCCACATCCCAGCCCAGCCATGCGTAGTCAACCAGGGTTTCTCTGCCTTGCACATGTCCCTGTGCAGCATCATCTCATGCTCGGTGTCCGCGTCCTCCCCGGAGCTGCTGCGGGACTGGCTGAGGAGGACAGAGCCGGGAGACACCCTGGCAGAGACACCCAGATCCCTTCCTAAAACCAAAAACGGCTCCAAACTCCCTGAGCCTCAGAAGCCCCCGAAAGGCAAGGAGATCTGGCTGGCATTCCGCAATGCAGCCGCTCTCCTCAGCAAGCTCCTGGCTCAGCTGGAGGCTTTCGCCTTCACCCGCAAGTGTCCCTTTCCCTACGTGCTGCGGGCAGGTGCCATCTTCATCCCCATCCACGTGGTGAAGGAGAAGCTCTTCCCCGAGCTCCCCGGGGCCTCTGTGGACCAGGTGCTGCAGAAGCACAAAGTGGAGCTGCGGCCCACCACGCTCTCTGAAGAGAAGCTTCTGAGGGAGCTGGAGCTCAAGGGCTGCACTTCACGCATGCTGAAGCTCCTGGCTCTCAAACAGCTCCCTGAGATCTACCCAGATCTGCTGAACCTCCTGTGGCACCACTCCATTCAGCAGCAGCTCGGTAGGTAGCAGGGTGATCCCCATCCCTTCCCCATGGGGCTTGGAGAAGGATATCCCACTAAAACCCAAGGATGCCCTACTGCAACCCGAGAGGTCCCCTTTAAAACCCAAGGATTCCCCTTTAAAACCCAAGGATTCCCCTTTAAAACCCAAGGATTCCCTGTTAAAACCCAAGGATTCCCTACTAAAACCCAAGGATTTCCCATTAAAACCCAAGGATGCCCTACTGCAACCCAAGAGGTCCCCTTTAAAACCCAAGGATTCCCCTTTAAAACCCAAGGATTCCCTGTTAAAACCCAAGGATTCCCTGTTAAAACCCAAGGATTTCCATTAAAACCCAAGGATTCCCTACTAAAACCTAAGGATTTCCCACTAAAACCCAAGGATGCCCTACTGCAACCCGAGAGGTCTCCTTTAAAACCCAAGGTTTCCCCATTAAAACCCAAGGATTCCCTGTTAAAACCCAAGGATTTCCATTAAAACCCAAGGATTCCCTACTAAAACCCAAGGATTTCCCATTAAAACCCAAGGATTCCCTACTAAAACCCAAGGATTTCTCATTAAAACCCAAGGATTCCCTACTAAAACCCAAGGATGTCCTACTGCAACCCGAGTTCCCCATTAAAACCCAAGGATTCCCTGTTAAAACCCAAGGATTCCCTGTTAAAACCCAAGGATTTCCATTAAAACCCAAGGTTTCCCTACTAAAACCCAAGGATTTCCCATTAAAACCCAAGGTTTTCCATTAAAATCCAAGGATTCCCTACTAAAACCCAAGGATGTCCTACTGCAATCCGAGAGGTCCCCTTTAAAACCCAAGGATTCCCCTTTAAAACCCAAGGATTCCCTGTTAAAACCCAAGGATTCCCTACTAAAACCCAAGGATTTCTCATTAAAACCCAAGGTTTCCCTACTAAAATCCAAGGATTCCCTACTAAAACCCAAGGATTTCTCATTAAAACCCAAGGATTCCCTACTAAAACCCAAGGATTTCTCATTAAAACCCAAGGTTTCCCTACTAAAACCCAAGGATTTCCCATTAAAACCCGAGGTTTCTTCACCAAAACCCAAGTATTTCTCTTTAAAACCCAAGGGTTCCCCACTAAAACCCAAGGGTTCCCCAGTTAAAACCACAAACACCCTCACTAAAACCTAAGGATGCCCCCACCAAAAATCAAGGATTCCTTACTACAAGGATTCCGCCATCAAAACCTCAGGGATTCCTTACTAAACCCCCAAAGATGCCCCTACTGATACCCAAGGACCCACCACCAAAAGCCAAAGATGTCCCCAGCGAAACCTCAAGGATTCCACTCCTAAATCCCAAGGATGCTCCTGCTAAACCCAAGGATGCCCCAGCAAAATCATCCTGCTTGAGGACTCGGGTGTGACAAAGTTCCCTTCCCCATTGCTCCCCATTCACTTTCCAAGTGCTCGACCACCATGTTTCCCCAAACTGGCCTCCATGTGGCACAGACCCTATAAAACACAGCCCCAAATCCTCTCCTGAGAAACCCCAACGCTTCTCCCACCAAAACCCAGCTCCTTCCTGCAGGCAGGCTCTCCGCAGTGGGACGGTCCCACCCTGCCCTCGTGTCCCAGTTGCCTCAACTGGAGGCATCACCACCGACTTTGTGTCTTGCAGGGTCGAGGTCGGAGGTCGGCCAGTAGAGGTGAGTTCTTTTTTTGTGCATTTATGGACATTTTTACCTCTCTATACCCATACGGTGCTTAACGTGGCTCGCATGGGAGGATTTGGGTACGGGGAGGTGACCACGTTAACGACCCCAGCAGCTCTGTGCAACCTGCTGCCTTCCCATTCTGGGCTCTTTTGTCCTTCGGTTTCATTTTATCTCCTCAGTGCTAATTAATACTTGTCTTTTTTATTCAGGAATTTGACTTCGTCCATTGACTGCGCTGGACCACAGCAAGGGGAGCGATGGTGGGGGGGGGAAGAGCTTCAGTCCTGGCTGGGAAGGGGCTGCAAAGAAGAACTGAAGGACATGAATACCAAAAACATCCCCAAATGCTGCCGGCACCCAGAGAACGCCCCAGGACAGACAGACAGACAGACAGACAGACTGCCTTCCCCCCACCTCACGGTGTAGAACCTTACAGCTCAGGTGTTGCTAGCAGACGAGGAACAAGTTCAGATGAGGGTTATGTTATTATTTTTTCACTACAGGAGTATTTATTTTAAACTAAGAATATGGAGAAAAAGGAAAAAAAAAAAAACCCAAAACAACTCACACCCATGATTTTTCATAGCCAAATAGGGTCTCTCTCAGCACGGGGAGGCTGCTGCTGTAAAGGAGTTTAGAAAGCAGTGTTTGTTGATAAGCCTGTAATGTGGTTTTATATGCCAATAGACCTATGCATAAAGTCCCAGGGAAGGAAATTACGTTGCCTTATTTAATGTTTTGTAAGACTGTGAGTCTCCAGAAGCACCTCACCTCATTAAAGGACTCATTTTCCAACACCACGTTTCAGTCTCAGCTCATTGATTACAACAGACCCTTCCTAGGAAGGGAACCACATGGACAACCCCAAGAATATCCTTGACTTGATAGGGGCTGGGCCTAAAAGCTTTAATTAGTTGCTCACCTGGGGTGTTGATGGACTAATGGGGGCCAGCTGGCCAAGGGCAACTGGAAATGGGATAAAAGCTGAGGGCTGGGGTAGGTGGTGTGGTGCTTTCTCTTCTCACCAGGTGGGTTGGGGTTGGGGTTGGGGTTGGGGTTGGGGTTGGGGTTGGGGTTGGGGTTGGGGTTGGGGTTGGGGTTGGGGTTGGGGTTGGGGTTGGGGTTGGGGTTGGGGTTGGGGTTGGGGTTGGGGTTGGGGTTGGGGTTGGGGTTGGGGTTGGGGTTGGGGTTGGGGTTGGGGTTGGGGTTGGGGTTGGGGTTGGGGTTGGGGTTGGGGTTGGGGTTGGGGTTGGGGTTGGGGTTGGGGTTGGGGTTGGGGTTGGGGTTGGGGTTGGGGTCTCACTAAGGTTCCTCCTGCTCCTCTTTGCAGCTGTGCTGTCCTTATGGGCTCTCCAGAGCTGAGCTGCAGGGTGGTACCACCAGGCTCTGCAGGTGCCACATCCTGGTGGTACAGAAGGATGTTTTGTGGCCGTGGGGACACAGTCCCAGCTCTCAGCCCTGCTTCTGGGGGGCTGAGGTGTAGGGCTGTCCTGGTGCTGGCTGTTTGTCTGTCTGTTACTGCCCTGCCCCACATCCTGGGCTCGCTGGTGGCCTTGTCCCCTGGTGCCTCGTACAAGAGGGACAGTATGGTGGCACTACACAGAGACCTGCTTGGCCAATCCAGGAGGGCACAGATGGATGCTGAGGGCACCGTGGGGTGCTTCCATGGCGAAGAGGATTTGTGCAATAGGACGGATACTGAAAGCCTGGTAACTCCAACTGGAGCCCTGAAACTGGAGCTGGGTGCCAACAGCATGACTGCATCCGACTCACCTGCACCCAGCAGCTTCTCCCACGTCCAGAATGAAACTGTTGATGTTGCAGCCCCAACAAGGAGCCCAAGACTGGAGCAAACTTCCCAACTGGAGTCCTTTCCAGAGTCATCCCCAGTACTGCCAACAGCAGGGGCATCCAGCTGGGATGGAACCCATAGCACTGTGTGGACGCCTCCCGTCACACCTGGAGGAACAGAAGCTGCTCTGGTGGTAGGCACCATTGGAGATGAGGTGCTGGGAAATGGATCTGGGCTTACAGCCATCATCTCATCATTACCTCCATTGCATGGCGTCAGCCACCTACGTGCACTGGCTCCATCCCTTCCTACAGAGGGGCTCGGGGGCTCTGCTGTCACCTTGGAGGAACCTAGTGATCCATCCCCTGCACACCAGGCTGGCCCAGCGCTCACCAAAGCCCCTTCTGTCCCCGTTTGGATGTGGTTCCCCAGCACCACAGGTCCTACTGAGGATGGGGAGAGCTTGATATCTCCTGCTACAACCCTCGAGCCTGGGGCCACTGAAACCGTGTGCCAGCATGGAGCAGCTGTGGGGGCTTCCTGGTGTCCAAAAGCAGCAGATGTGAGCCAGGGCTCCCCAGTGGGGTTGACCACCCAGACATCTTCTCCAGCAGCATCTTCAGAGCACACGCTGGGCTCTGTGCATCCTCCCAGCTCCAAGCCTTCTGCTGCAGGGCCTTGTATCAGTTCTCCATCCCCAACTTACCTGCCAGCTTCTATTACCACCACTCATGCCCCAAGCTCTCAGACCTTCACTGCGTCAACACTGCCCACGTCTGCTCATCCAAAGTCCAGCCCTTCTCCTGCCACCTCCCAGCACCCCTCTGCAGACAGAGCTGATGTGCCCGTAGCCACCAGCTGGGTGGCAGCAGGAGAATTCTTCACTCCAGAGCAACTTGCGACAACTGTGGGCAGTGCTGGATCTATGGGGACAAAGACCCCTGTGCACACCTTGCCCTTGAGTTTCAGGCTCTTGGGTATTGCCTTCACTGAAGATCTGAGCAAAAAGTTTTCGAGGAGCTACAAGGAGCTGGAGAAAGAAGTGAGGATGATGGTGAGTGTGGGCTGAGCCCTCTGGAGCTGGCTTCTGGGCTTGCTTAGGGCTGATGGGCAAAGCATGAATACAGGAGCCTCTCACCACCAGCTGCTTCTCTGTTCCAGCTGCACCAGGTGCTGTCCACCTATGATACCTTCCTCCAAGCAAATATCCTTGGGTTTAAGTGAGTAGGGTTGATGTGAGATGGGATCCTATGGATGGGCTGTGCAGATCCAAACCTTGGGACCTTCTTCTCACCCCCAGGAATGGCTCAGTGCTGGTGCAAGCACAGGCTGTGTTCCAGGGGGAGGCTCCTACCAGCTCCCACCTCATCCGCACGCTGGTGGCAGGGGCGAGCTGGGGGCACGATGCCTTCAGCTGGTGGCTGGAGCCCCATTCCATCAGCTCCAACGGTAAGCAGAGCAGCTGCCATTCAGTGCCCTCCCTGAGCATAAAAAGAACCCCAAACCCATATGGTGGGGCTCTCAGGCTTCCCCCTAAACTCCCCATCTGACCCAACCCTTGATGTGGCCATGGGAGGCTGTACAGCTTGATCCTTCCCACCATCTGGTGCTGGTTTTGGTATGAGGTCAGGGCTTGCTGCATCTCCCAAGGAAGACGTGGGGGTGTGAATAGCATTCTCAACTCTTCTAGGCTTCAATGTGGAGAGCCTGGACCCTGAGAAGCTGTCCATCTCCTTCACAGTGCTGGGTGGGATGGAGCCTGCAGAGAGGCTGGTTGGTGAGGTATGGTGGGTGTTCCCCCACGCCAAGTGGGTTGGAGCAGAGTGATGGCTGCTCATCTGGAGCCTGTCAAAAAGCGAATGCATCTCCATAGCTCTGCACTGAGGCTGGGGGTGAGCTCATCTCCTTCTCCTGCAGGTGATGCAGTCTCTCAGTGCCCTCTACCCTGTGAGGAACGTCACTGTTGGCCAGCTCAGGTATGGCAGGCAGTTGCCCAAATCTTTGTCTTCCTCTGTGACTATTATGGCCATGAGCAGCTCAGCAGGATGGAGGAAGGCCTTGCTTAGAGCTTCTCTCCTCACAGAAAAGCCAATGGGGACCTGGAGATGGCTGGGGATGTCTATCTGGACACCACCACCCATGCCAACATCACTGCAGTCCTGCAGGCACTGACTGCCCTTGCCACGTGCTCTGTGGACCTGAGCTCGCTGTCGGTGCAAGGTGAGGATGCTGTTCCCATGGGTGATGGTGCTGGTGGCTGTTCCTGCTCACCCAGCTCCCCTCCTGCCTCCCCAGGGACCAGGCTGCAGCTGCAGGTTTACCCACTCTCCTTCCTGGTCACCAATTGGCATTTCAGCAAGGAGCTGCTGGATCCACTCACCTCTGAGCACCGGGAGCTCAGGAAGGCCCTTGGAAATGTGGTAGGTGGGGAAGCAGCGGGGTCCTCCTCAGTGCTGGAGGAAGGGCTCTGCTTTGGGGTGGCCCTACAAACCAGTTATCACCTTCTTTACTGGGCTTGTATGGGGGAGATGTCTTCTTCCTGTTTGGGGCTGGGGAGTGATGGGGTGCTGAGCAAAACCTTTCTTCTAGGTGGCAAAAGCCCTGAGGGACAACGGGAGCTTCCTGCAAGTGGTGATAAGAGGATTCCTGTGAGTGAAAGGGCTGGTGAAGAGGGTACAAGGCTGGGGAGGTCTTGTGGGCATCCTATGCATCCCAAGGAGCACTGACACATCCCAACACTCCCATTGAGTTGGGAGCTGTGGACGCTCATTAGGACCAACTGATGCTGGAGTTCATCCCAACCTTCTCCACAGGCCTGGCTCCCTGCTGTGCCATGGGGATGCAGTGTTCCAGCTCCCTGCTCCCAGCAGCCTGGAGGTCCTGGAGGCTCTTGTTCTTGCAGTTGGGCCAGACAAGGCTTTGGCTGCCTCAGACTTCCAGGTGGATCCATATTCCATTTCAGTAGGAGGTGAGTGAGCTTCTTTTGGGGTGTGGGAACAGCAAACCCAAATCAAGAGTGCTAACAGCTCTGTTCCACCCCAGAGGACACCCTGGAGCCCCCTCCTGCCCCTGGCTTTCCTGAGTACGGCGTGTCCATCATAGTTGTGTGTGGCCTCATCATCATCACCATTCCCATCGTCCTGCTGGTGGTAAGGGTGATGTCTGTCTCCTCTGTGGTGGAGAGTACAAGGGCTGTGGTGCTGAACTTGGATAAAAGAGGGACCACAGGGATTTCTGGAGGTACCACTGCAGTCCTCTTCTCCCCTCAGTGCCTGAGGACCAGGAGGTTTGGCTGGAGCGATGTGGCCGTCCTGTCGGATAGGAGAGACCCTGAAGCAGGGACACAGACCCTTGAAATGGAGAACCGGGGCTTCTGGGCAGCCTCTGATGAGGTAAGTGGCTTTTATGGGGGTGAATGGTTGCTCTCTTGGAACTGCAGGCTGGAAGCTCAGTAGGTCACTTCACTGGGTCTCAGTGGTACGTGCAGATAGATGGCCCTGTGCAATCCCAGGGCCTGGTGGGGGTTTGAGCTTCCTGAGCCCCATCTGTGGCTGTTGAAAGGGGATGTGGTTCCTGCTGAGACTCCTGGAGCTCACGGCTACTTCTCCCCTTCCTGACTTCAGGCCACTGAGGAGGCTCACGAGTGCTGGCAAAGGGAATCTGTGGCCTGTTGAGAGGACATGCAGTTGCTGGAGCTGAAGCAGAACCAGAGTCTGGTGGGAGACAGATGCTGAGAAGCTGTCTCTATTCACCCTCTGGTTTCGGATGCCAGATATTCTTTGAGAACAGTGTAAGGAAAGATTAATTTATATGTTAAACTTTAATAAACTGTTTATAAGCTATCACAGCTAGCTCTGATTTTGCTGTATGGGGAGTGTTGAGCCTTCTGCCCTGTGCTGGGCTCCTGTTGACCAAAGTACAACTCCTCCTTTGGTTCCTACAGCTCTGCCGTGCAGCTTAGAGCTGCCCTCGAGCTTCACTACCAGCGCTCTCTATTTGCAGTAATCGAATGTTGGGTCTCTGAATTCAGCTTGTACTTGGTGTTATCAGCTCCTGCCTTGGTATTCAGACCGATAACTGTGGTGTTGCTCCCCGTCCCCATGCGCTGCCTTTCCCCCTGCCCCCTCATTTCCCTCTACTGCCATACTAAGGCTTCTCGTACCTCGGAGCTGGACACGCCCCCTTCTCACCGCTGCCCAATCACGTCTCACAGCACTTCCTGCCAATCCCGCGCTGCTCGGCCAATCCTCGCCCCACTGCTCTCGAAATAGACCCGCCCCCCCGCAGTGGGCGGGAGGTGGAGAGAGCATGCGCAACCTTGAGCGGGACGGACCGGAGTGAGGACTGAGGGTAAAAGCGCAGGTGTGGAGGGAGGCGCGTCGCTGTGGGCGTGGTCTAAGCAAAGGGGCGGTGCCATCCCAGGCCACGCCCACTCCCTTAACTGCTCACCAGCGCCACCTGCTGCTGAGCCCGCGTAAAACGGAACAGAAAAAGCCCCAAACAACGTCTTTTAATGGTTTCCGGTTTTGTTGTTGTTTGTCGGCATTTTGTTGTTGTTGTTTTTAACAGCTCGTGAAAATAATGATTTCAATAATAAACCAGGCGTCCTGTTGTCCCGAGGGCTGTGCACGGAGCCCGAGTTTCTGGGGAAGCGCCTCCAACTTTTTGCTGCCTTCATCCTGCTGGGAGGTGGTGCGGGGTGTGTGGCAGTGCCTGAACCCCCCTAAAATGCAGGCAGGTTTAAACTACCGAGCTCCCTATTGCTAAACATGCGATCTGCCAGCTCGGTAACAAGCCTTCCATTATTCCAGCTACAACTTATCATCAGCTTCCATCAGAAAACAGAAAAACAATGCAGGTTAAAGAAAAGTTAAGTATAAAAATATTTCAAACAGTCACTCTTGCTTCTCTCTGGATAGTGTGAAGCAGTCGGGGGTGGTGTTCTGAGGTGGTTTTGGGCTCGTGGTGGGGCACTGGAGGAGCCTGGGCAGCCCCGCTTGGCTCAAGATCTGCAAGAGGCAACATAAAAATTTGGAACTGATAAACCTGATTTTAAAGCTGGGAAAGATTGATTTGATAAAATCTGCATTGCAGCTTTTTTTCCCCCAAAATAATGAGAAAGCATAAACAATGTCATATAACAAGTAGGAATGATACAAGCACGGTACCAGCCCCCAGCCTCGCCCTTGGCCAACTCCAACCTGAAGTGATAAAAAGCATTAACCCCTCCATCCCATCTTATCATCCTAAGGATAAACTCAGCTCAGCAGCCAGACAACTCCTTACTGGGAGATCTTGCAGTTTGTTGTGGCCACGTAGCGGCCAGTGTAGTGGATGTTGCACCGCACCACGTTGTTGGTGAAATCTGACTCCAAAACGATGTATTTGGGGTTCACCTGGACCTAAAGAGGGGGAAAAAGGGGGGAAAAAGCCCATGTAAGAAAATGAACGGTAAAGAAGACCCTCCCAAAAATGAGACCCTAAATCCATACCCCCTAAAGCCCCTCCATCACCTTTAGGACGTAATTCCCTGGCTGCACATCCGTGATATCGATCCACTGGCAGTCAATGTCGGCGTTGTAGGTGTCGTAGCACCCTGGGCTCAAGCCCTGCAGGAAGGGAAATGGGTTTGGGGGCTGGCCCTCAGCATCTCTCCAAGCCCTGCTGCATCCCCAGCCACGTGTCCCCATCCCACCTGGGTGTGGGACGTGCAGGCATAGCGCTTCAGGTTGCCGAAATCACAGGTGGTGTCCTCCAGGCAGAAGCTGGCCTTGTGGCCCTCGGCCACCTTCCTGCCCGTGGTGGCATCCAGCAGGTCGTAGTGGCTGAACTCATCCATGCTGTGGTAGTGCCTGCAGGTGGGAGGGAGTGGGGTGACCGTGCCCCTGCCATTCATGCCGTCCCCTCCACAAATGTGGGTTTGGGGGCTACGAGTGGCTCTGCGACAACCCCACGTCTGTGCCAGCACCAAGTGGTGACGTTAGTCAGAGAGGTTTGGTGGCTCCTGGAGCAGAGGCAGAGCAAAGCAGACCCCCACAAAGACCCTGGAGCAGCGAAGAGATGAAGCAAGCCAGAAAACCAAGGGAAAATGCTGTTAGTAAAGCAGAGAAGATGCAGAACGGAGCAGAAAACACACAGGGGACAGGCGGTGGGGACACGTGGGTGTCCTCAACTCACTGGTGGCAGCTGTGCCATTCCCAGCTGTGCCGGGGACGGCTGGGCAGGAAGTCAGCTGTGCCCTGGTTCTTCACCCGCTGCGGGAAGCGCAGCAGCACCCGCACGTCGTAGTCTGTGGCTTCGGGGGTGTAGGCAGTGCTGGGGAAAGTGGAAGTTGCAGGCAGTTCCTTTCCCTTTTCCTTTCTCCATCCCCTTCTCCTCCCTTCCCTTTTTCCCTTCCCTCTCCTTCTTTATCCTCCATCGTTCTGTATACTCCATGCTCCATTTTCCATCCTTCTCCATTTCTACCCTTCATTCATCCTTTCCTTTCATCCTTCTTCCTTCATCCTCAATCCTCCTCCTTCATCCTCCATCTTCCTCTCTCACCCTTCATCCTCCACTCTGTCCTTCATCTTCCTCCTTCATCCCCCACCCTCCCTTCATCTTTCATCCTCCATCCCTCATCCTCCTCCTCCATTCTCCATTCTCCTTCATCTTCCATCCTTCACCCTCCACCTTACTCTCCACATTTCCAGCCAAGCTCCTTCATCCTTCCATCACTACCCTTGGCAGGATCACCAGAGCAGGATCCTCTCTCCCTCTGTCCCCTGAGCACAGCGACACCCAGCACCCCTGAGACATTTGGCTCCATGTGATGCCCCCCCATGCCCTACCTGGCCAGGCACTTCTCCTCAGCGGCGCAGCGCAGGGAATACAGGTGAGCTCGCTGCACGTAGGTGGATGCTTGCACATAGTTGGGGTCAGGTACCAGATCAGGGAGACCTGCAGGAGGGACACACAGCCTGGTGGTTTGCAAGCAGACAGACAGATGGACAGACAGATGCAGCAGTGGTGGTGCCTTCAATTTCTAAAACTGTTACAGAGGGAAGCAGGAGCAAGAGCATCATGCCGAGCCAGTCCTTCATCCCAAAAACACTTTTCAACACCTCCACGTCCCAGCAGTTCCTCTGGGACCACCAGCACGCTGACCCCAGCAGTGCCTCTGGATATGGCCATCAAGGGGATGCAGCACAAGGATGGGTGGGGGTGCACTCTCCAGGTGCTCCATGCCTCAGTTTCTTTCATTGCAATCCTCTGCAAAGCAAAGCCCTGCCCTGCACTCTGACAAACAATGCTTGGCCTCTCACTTTTCTGTGAGCTAGCTAGCTCATCTTCATCCTTATCCTCACCCTCATCCTTCTTACCTGCATCTCCATCTCCATCCCCATGCCCATCCTAGTTCTCATCTTCATCTCCATCCTCATCTTCATCCTTCTCATCTCCATCTCCACTCTATCTCCATCCCCATTCTCATCCTCATCATTCTCACCGCCAACCCCATCCTCATCCCCACTGCCACCCTCATCTGCACCATTCTCACCCTTACCCTCATTCCCACCTCCATCTGCATCTCCATCTCCCTCCTCTTCCTATCCCCATTCCCATCTTCACCCCCATTCTCATCCTCATCCTTATCCCCATTCCCATCCTGATCCTTTTCACTCCTAAACCCCATCCCATCTCCCACCCTCATCGTTCTCAACCCCATCCCCATCCTCACCCCCATTCTCACCCTCACTGTCCCCATCCATACCCCATAAGCCAGTCCAGCTCCTCCCTTAGCACCGAGACCATCCAGCATGTTGTATTTTTTCCCCTCTCATTTCCCCCCCTTTATTCTCCATTTTTTTCCATGGGCAAGAAGAACAATGCCTTCTTGTTTCCCAGCCTGGCTTCCCTCGAGGGATCACGTCACTCGATTGGAGCTCGTTTCCTGCCCCGCTGCTTGGTCATCGCTGCTGATGTAATGCCCAGGGGGGTCTGTGGGGTGAGGGGGAAGCAGGAGGACTGAAGGGAGTTTTACCCTTGCAAAATCGAACAAAATAACAACACTGAGATCCTACAGGGTGGCTGAGCTGCGTTTCGGGGCTGAGCACCCGCAGTCGGCGCCTGTCCCACCGTGAGATGCTGGGGGAGAAATGTTCTGGGTTTACAGAATAGCTCTTCCTCTGTGCTGTTGTTTACAATAACTCCTTGGATGCTCAGCAGAGAAACCCGACTCCTTTCCCAGAGAGGATTTCCCCCCCCCTCCCCGAGAAGCGATGCTGGCCCCGCTGTTATTGTAGGGTCACCATCCCAGCCCGTTTGTGGGCACTGAACGCCCCAAGCAGCCAAGGCCAGATCTTCCTTTTTGCTGACCATGCTTTTTTTCCACCTCCTGTGAACCCGGACCTGGCAGCCCCCATCTCCTGCCTCCAAAAAGGGACAACCACAGCAAGAAAATGTTTGTTTTTCCTCTCCTCCCCTTTGCCTCTCCGCCTGCCCAGGGAGCTGCCAGAGAAGATTTCCTTCTCATGCACCGTGAAAATTAGAATAATACCAAGCCAGGCCTGCTCCCCGCCGTGCTGTTTGTGCAGGTGTGCAGGGCTTAGCTGAAAAAACCCACTTTTATGAGCCTGAATGTAGGGATCGGGGCTGGCTCCTTCCCCAGCACCCCCTGCAAGGGAGAATCGTAGACTGACTGGGTTGGACGAGACCTGCAATTCTCCCCAGCTCCTTGGGCTGGGTGCCCCCCACCAGCTGGGGCTGCCCATGGCCCCATCCACAGCCCTGGGCACCTCCAGGGATGGTGCACATCCACCACTTGGAGAAAGCAGGATCCAACCTGGCAAAAGAGACCAG